CCAGCAGCAGACATCCCAGCATTTCATGTTGTGTTTTTCTGCATTCTGCAATTAGAAGTTAAACGAGACAAAATCCAATGCAAGCAGGAATAGAGAACAGGAATTTGGTGTCTGTGGAGTCTCCCTCACCTGAACTCCCTGAATGCTCCTGACACAGCCCATGCCCAGAGGCAGAGGGCAGGGACAGCTCTGGGTACTGGGACACCACAAGGGACAGGGGCCCTGGCAGGCTGCTGCTCTTGGGCACCAGGCAGTGGCCCATGCAAGGCCAGGGTGCTGGAGAGAAGCTGAGGGGACAAGCAGCTGTGCAGACAAAACAGGTCTCCCCAAAGGGAAAGGTGAGGCAGGAGAATACATTTTCTGTTACTTCTCACAATAAACAGAAAATGGGAAAAAGTTAAGGCAAAAATACTTGCAACAGTGAGTCTCTGTTTGCTTCATGAGACCCCAGCTTTCCCAAGAAGCCAAAATTAAACCCAACTCTATAGAACAGAGGAGAACAGAAACCTTCAACAGTGGGAACAAACAATGCAGCACCAGGATCAGAAGACTGAAAGGGGAGGAGAACAGAGGGAACAGCCAGGAGGGAACAGGCAACACGAGCCCTGAGCAGCAGAGACAGCATTAAAAACACCCCAGCATGGGCTCTGGTAGCCCTGCAGAAAAAGAAAGTCTCCAAATTGTGTCAAGATGTTGCTCTTCTAGAGATACCAAGTGAAAATTTTGATTTACATAGCTGGGAGATGCCATGCAAAGCATAAGAGGAAAATGAGTGACCACAGGATGGTTTTCCTTTATTTTGTGGTTCATTTCTGAAAAGCTGCTGCTTCCCCTTTTCTTTCCCTTGAAAGGAGAGAAACTTTGAAAGAAATTGCAGAATGCAATTAAAAATCTAAAATGGTGTACTGCATAAAAAAAACACGGGGGAGAAATCTTAACAGAAAAACATCAAATATCTGTGTCCTAAAATATTGTGTTTTGGTTTTTTTCCCCATGCTGTGCTGTGTTAACATGTCCCTCACACGTGTGCCCAGCTGCTGCTGCGAGCTCGGTGGCAGGGACAGGAAATTTGGAGCTAATGGGGAAAGCAGGGAATACCAACCTGTAATTTATTTTTATGATTTCTGGAATGTTATAATTGAATTACACTAATGTTATGTGCTAATGGAAGGTTGGGCACTGAGAGGCCTTTCCTGTTGCAAACACTGCAAAGAACCCCCACGCTCTGCAAACACTTGTGCACAGAAACATACCCAGTGCCATTTGTGCCCAGCACTCAGGACACGGTCCACAGTTCCCTATTTCCAAAAATCTTTCTTGATCAGTACTGTAACAGTAAGGTAGCTGCAGAGAAAAACAAGATACCTTCAACTACCTCAAAAGCAGACACAAAAAAAATTAGGCTTTTAGGTCTGCAGGCTCCTGAGGAGAAGACAGAATCTGCTCTGTTTGCCCCAGACAATTCAGCCAAGATTCCCTGGGGCCTCACAGTCAGGCTAATGAGAAACTCCCCAGCAACTCCCATATAAAATGCTTTCATAGGTCTTTAAAATGCCTTAAATTCTCTATATATTTAGTAAGACTTTTTACTTCTTTAAAATGTCCCTTGTTGCTCCTCAAGAAAATACCCTCGTGATGTGTTGCAACAGAAATGCAGCATTGTCTGACCGGACCTTTGTTTTGTGAGTATTGAACCTTATTTTTGTCTTGGCCTCGAAGAAACCAAAACCCCTTTTGCAGAGCAGAGGTGGGCACTTGCCTGGCCCCCAGCAGCCCTGCCCAGTCCAACCCCAGTGATGCTTTTGGAGAAGGACAGACAGGCAGGCTGCAAGGGCTGCACATGTGTTAAGGGTGGTGGGGGGGGAAAGCAGGGGCAAGAAGTACTCAGCTACACTGCTCCTTTGGAACAGAAAACATCTCTGCCTCTTAGGCAGCAAAACACGCCTGACCAGCTATTCAACAACAAACTAAGTCCTTGGATTAAGGGAGGAAAGGAAAAGGGTTTTTTCTTCCTTTTACATTAAGGAAAAGATGTTTACAAAACCTGAAGAGGAAGGAAATCTGCTATATGCCCATTGTTAAACAGTACTGGTGGATACTCAGATTACTCACCCTGGTGCAAGGGCAACCTCTGCCCCTTCTCTCTCTAGGTTATTATGCACAGCCTTTAAGTAGTTGTTATTTTAAAAAATTCATTTAAGCTATTTCTAGCTGTATTTGAAGTACTGGAATAAATTCCTCAGTGCAACTATACCATGGCTTGGAATCTTGCAAAGCGTTTTGCCTTGGCAGATTTTACCAGGAGTGAGCAGTTACACCAGAGCAGACAGCAACTTGTGCACACACTCTGCCAGAGGAAAAAGGATGGTCCTGTACCAAGCCAGCACCAAACAGACTCATCTGAGCAGAGGATTTCTTTTGCCATGGTGTTCACAGCCAAGTTTCCATGGGCTGCACTAAGCAGCTCCCATGAACAGCCCCTGCCCAGTACCATGGTGTGGTCAGGGCTGTGCAGGTTTTGCACCCTCAGTACATGTCAGGAGCAGAGAAGCTCCCCCAGGAGACACCGAGCTTGGAGCCCTGTGTTTGGCACACCAAGCACAGATGGTCATCAGAGCCATCCAGACAAGAGCCATGACTGCAGACTCAACTCATGGTCACAAAAAATTTTTTCAGAATAGCTTCTACTGGTTAGATGAACAAAATAGAATATAGCAGCAAAAGTCCCTTTTTTCCCCACAGATGCACCTATATAGTTATTTCACTAGTAGAAAAATATATTTATATATTTTTTAAAAGCTTAAAGTTTACCTTCTACCTGTAAAAGCTCTTGCTGTTCCTACAAACCACCCAACCCTGGGACCATGACCCCCCCAGCTCACAGCAGCTGTGCAGAGTGCCAACAGAATTTTTCAGAAGTCATTTTGTATGTGTTTGCACACACAGAGAGATGTACAAACACATACAGGAGAAAGAGGGAGAGAAATATGTTAATTTGAAACATCTGGCAAAGGTTTCAGAGTTAACAAGTCCCAGGTTTGGCCTTTGGGGTTTTTTTTCCTTTTGGGGGAGTTAAGGAAGGGGAGGCAATTTTGTCATTTTGGGCCAGGGAAGGAAGGGACATGAAACAAGAAATTGAAGCATGTTTTTTCACCCTTTATTGAACTTCACCATCACACTACTGAAGCTAATGCAAACAGGAAGATCATAAAAGAACATAATGAAAGTCTCGCACACTGGGACTGAGGGACTGGTTTCAGTTACTGAATATAGCTGTGGAGCCACACCACACAAGAGCTAGTGACTTCACACAGCCACACTACCACAAACTTGGGCTTTTTAAGATTTTTCTGTAGTTCCTCAATCATATTCCAACCTGCAACTTGTGTGCTATGACAGGATACGGTATCACATCTTTATACACATACAAGACTGACATCTGTAGCTCCTAAACGTCTTAAGAAGAAAACCCCCCAATTAACACACATTTTCCTAAAGCTGCCATAAATCATGCATACAATACATTTTCTCCCACATCCGATGTATTGAATGAGAGCTGTAATTATGGGAATAAATGAAGAAAAATGGAGACTCAACTAACTTGGTAAAAGCCTTTCACAGTCTTTTACTTATGGCATAGTCACCAATACCAACCCCAAATTAATTCTGCTGTGCAAAGAAATTTTTTTTTGTCATTGTTTTGAACCACAGGCTATTTTGAATTTAATACACTTCCAGACTCGTGATAGATAACACCGGTAACTCCACTGCAGTGCTGTTTGAGATGAAGGTCAAGCAAGAGAGCTGGCGAGCGCTCTTTTCATGCACCGTTAGCTCCAGGCACAAAGGGGCCTTCCACATCACAGCTGGGGGTTTGCAGCAGCAGCAGCAATATTTGCTATCGAGACTAGTGAAAACAAACCCCTCCAAACAGCCAGAGTGCCCAGAGAAGATGCACCCAGTGCCCCAGAAGATGCATCTGAGAGCGCAGCGGGTACAATGTGAAAGGCCACAAAGTGCCACGCAAAGGCAGCTTGTGCCTTCGAGACCAGAGAGATGCTCACTGTGGTAAGGAAGTGTCCCCTGGGAGCCAGGCTCCCCCTGACTCTTACAAAACCCATCTAACCAGGAATGCAACACCATTGTTGGTTTTCATATTACTGCTCAGCTTCTCAGCTGTTTCCATATCATTGGTGAGCTTTAAAGAAAATACCATTGCACAGTCCAAAGTGGAGAGAGCAGAGAAATAGACTCAGTGGCTTCAAAATCAAAAATATTGTGAACATCTCAATGTAAAAGAGATGTTAAAAATGTTAAAAACACAGCAAAATATCTTTACATGGGGCACAGTGACTGAGATGTGGCTAGTTACTCTAAACACAAACTAATCTGACATTCACCCTAATGCTTGTGTTACCAATACATACTTCACAGACAAACTTAATTTATCCTATTCAATTTTTGAGCCTCTTTTTATACAGATTATTGACCTAACATGGATGAACAAGCTTCAGACACATGTTTATCACTGTCAAGCAGACCAAAAGCTTGTTCAAATTTTAAATCTTTCTACCATGGCGATGTACCACTTTTATTCTCCAACCCTGACAGTACTTTCCAATTTCCTCCAAGAGGAGAAATACACACATTCCAGTTGAGACCGAGGCTTAAAATTCCTATTAAAGCAGCTTTTATGTAATTAGATTGGAATGAATGTGTAACAGTGCCCATTGCAGAAAACTTCAAAGTGGTTGTACTGGAGAAATCACAACCCGTTTCAGTGTGCCCACAAGAAGAAAGAATGGCTCTCTGGAGGATAAGAGTATATTAGTCTCTGTGTGTAATAGATTTTATTGACCATATGGAACTGATATAAAAATTGTGTTGCAGTGGGTAGTCTTGGATTTGAGACAGGAATGTGACATACAAAATACAGTTCCTGTAAAAAGCCTGGCAGCTTTCTGGCAGTTTTTGCAATCAGAAGAACCTAAAATATTTACCTGATTGAGTCACTGACGAGTCCCAGGTCAAAGCAAAATCTGAAGATTCACCCTCTTCAACTGAAAAAGAACAAAAATAAGTTGTGATTGCTAAAGCAAACCAACTGGAAAGCAAAGTCATCAGAAAACTAGGTCCACTATGACATTAAGTATTAAAACAGACTTCTCCACTGCTGAAAAAGAACTTACTGCTTTCTATAAAATAATTCATAAGGTGGAAATTTAGTAAAGAGATTTTTCCTACTTTTTAACCTAAATATGGGATTTGTGTTCGCAGTTTCTTCCTGAACGGGTGTCAGTAAGTTCATGTGAAATTTTAATTGACACTTAAACACCACTCCTGGTAAGTATTCGTATTTGAAATGTTGTACATTCACAGCCTGCATGTGCAAAATCGCCATTGTAAATGGAGAGGTTGTTTTTGAAATGGATGTTTCAACAGATCATAGTAAAAAACTGCCCTGTGAAGGAAAAATTGCCTGATTTACGTCATCCTAACATACTAACACATCTGCCATATTCAAAACCCAGTGATATCTTCAGGGATTTTTCAGAATTAAAAAATACTATTTTGGTGTATAACCATGTTCTGTGATATGGCAGTCACAAATAACTGCTTTTAAAATTTGTTGTTGCTGTGAAGGCTGTCAGAGCCAGTGCTCAGCACTTGCAAGTGACATAGCTAAAACCTTCTGCCTGTTAACAATTATAAAAATGCCACTTGATTCTTACATGCTTAAAAATAACTAAGAGAACAGCCAACAACAAGCCAGGCAAAAAAGTGCCGGATTCTGCTGGTACTGAAGTCAGTGCTGGTTATACTAATGACAGACTGAGCATTTGAAAGCAGCAACTGCAGAAATTCTTCTTTTGAATTACAAAAGTTTATCGTCATCACCTGCCCACTCTGTCACCCTGACACCAAACAAATTTAAATTATATGTCTTTATTTTCTGATTAATATTATTTGCTCCACGCACTTAACAATTGCTTACCCTTTCAGCTAAGTTATGCTTGGATTCAAATGCACATTCTATAGAATTCTGCAACTGGAATCCAAACATACTGCAAAGCCACAAGCACAAACCCTGTTGACCAGCTCTCTATGCTCAGGACAACCTGCTCCAATAAATATTTCCACTGACATTTGCATCACAAGAGTCTTGATTTTATGCTTTCCTCACATTTTTCCCCCAGTCCAGTGCAGAATTCTGGCATTAAGTTGATGTTAGTGGTAACATCATATGGCATTAGGAACAGAGAATATAATTTACATAGGCAGTGCCTTGACAAATGTAGTTTTTTGTCCAAACCATAAAAAAATGTGTGCTACACAGAAGGGCACCACTCTGGTTTTCTTAAATCAGTGTGTTTACTAATGGAGGAGCACGAAATTCACCCATTTCTTTGGAGAAATCATACTTGAGTCTTGGCTATACTTTTTTCAGAGTCTGTGTTAGCATAAAGGCCGTGTCACATAATATTAAATTCCAGAATGACAGAGGAAAAACAAGAGGCAAAGCTAGAAGCTTATTGAAGCCATTATTGGTCCTATTCCCTGACGGTGGCAGAGCCAGCTTGGCTGGCGTGTGCTCCCTCCTGAGGGCTCACCTACCATTTTGTGCTCTCTAAGCCACCATCTTGTTCCCATTTTGACCCATCTCTTAATAGAAAAACTCTGGATGCAGTTATCCGAAATACCATTTCAGTCTTACACAAATGCATGTCTCATTTTAACATCAAAATCTATATACACCTGGGAGGGTTTTTGCTCCAAAACTAAATAAGCCAAGTTGGAAATTCATGTACCTTACTCAAAACAGACAAGGGGAATGTTTTAATTTTATTTTATCCTTGACTGCTTTTTGGTTGTTTTGCTTGGAGAGTGGTTTTTTTATATTACTACTTTTATGCTGAGGCTTTTTTTATTTCTTTACGTTTTGTCTTGGAAAGAGAGATTTAAAAAACCCAGTCTGCTAAAAATACAAAAAAGAGATAAATTTGGTCCTAGTCAAGGAGTGGTATATGGATCTGCACCGGTCATTGACCAATTTTAGCAATACACTGACTTTCATGTTGGTTAAACACCAAAAACTACTCCAGTCCTTGAGCTGCTCTAGGGCAGTTGGCTCCAGCACGTAACAAAACCACGGTTTTTGGAATCCCTTAAATGAGGGCAAAGGTTTGAATCAGCCTCTGTTGGCATTAATTTGCTTTGCTCCCTAATGACTGAAAAGGGGACAGAGAACATTCACGTGGAGGCAACAGCACTGAAATTCACTTTATATTATTGCAGTCATGGTTTCTGGTTCTCCCCCTCAATTTGCACAGACCCACCACAGAGCTGACAGTGCTGCATATCCACGGAAGAAGAGGCCAGTGGGATGGAGCCTCCTGAGCTTAGGCACAGACACATCGCCCTGCAGCTGCTGCTCACAACACTACCACCACCTTTCCTTTTGCTTTTCCATTTTCCTTTAACTGTTTTAAGCAAACATTATCTTTCAGAGCCTAAACTATACGAAAAAGTAACAGCAAAGTCTATTCCAAAAGGGATTCCAGTATCAACTGACTCAAGCACTTGATCCTCACCTGCCCATCCATCCACCCACCCAGCTAGGCAGTGGGCAGAGAGAAACAAGGAGCAAAAGCAGCCACATCCAGAAGAGAAAGACTGAAAGACTGCGTCTATACACTCACTAAGAAGCCCCAAAGGTTTGGTGGGAAATGGTGTCTGTGAAGCTGAAGCTAAAAAGAGGTGATCAGGCTTTGTCATAGACAGCAAGTGTAATTGCAGGGGACACTAAACTCCATGGGCTTCTGCTCCCTCTCCAGAATGGGCATAAGCCAAGCGCTGTGAGGTTCCTCTGTGGCTGCCTAATCTTCTGGATTAAATGGTTATTTAAGCATTCAAAGTGGTGTCACTGGTGGCTTTTCCTCAACCTCGGCAGTGAGCAGAAGCCATGGAAGTCAGAAGGAAATATAATGTTTTCTTCTTCCTAAAGTCAACTTAACAGCCAAGCATTTGCAGCTGAAATTTGCTCTCAGTTGCATATGTCTATTGCTGGAGCCATAGGGAAGCAGGAAGAGGCTCCCCAGGCTGGCTGGAGATCTGGGGACATGATGCTGTTCACAGAGGGCAGAGGAGTCCCACAGACCCCATCTGGGGACAGGCCCCCTGGGGACTGCCTTAGGACTTGGCAAGTCCTCCCTGGCAGGGCACAGTGGACCCAGAACAGATTTGGTCACTATGGCTGTGAAGGGATTTCCATGTCTCACTACTGAGAACAAAGTCAAAACCACTCTTAGTCCATAATATTAGCCAGAGAATGATTCACTTAAGCTGAATTTTCAGTTTCTCAATTTTTGTCATCATTCCTTGAAACCTAGGTTGGCTCAGGTGACCATGTGTATCAACACTCACTGTGTAGATGCTGTTACTTAACTTGTGGTAAGTAACAGGGAAGAGGTACATAGCATTCAACACAATCACTCTCAAAACACACTGCAGAGTAAGAATAATTCCCATTTCATTAGCAGGAAAATACATTTTCTGAGACATGCTAGACATAACTACCCAAGTCAAGGACTAGACACTTCTATCTGTGCTAGTTAATCACTCTGAATGTGTGGACACCCAAGTCCACAAAGCTGATGTTTAGCATGGGCAGGAGCCACCCACGTGCATAAACACTCTGCAGCTTGGGAAAACCACAGGGAACAGCAGCACCATTCAAGAGTGATAACTCTGATCGTCCAAACCAACTGAAGATCTTGTACCAATTTTAACTACTTTTCATGAATCCTGGTGACAAGAGGGTGACGGCTTTGCTTTTCCTGAAATTTTGGAGGCATTTCATACCAGGCACTGAAAATGAAGACACACAAAATCACTGGTGTTAAGCTGTGGGCAGAATGTTCACAGATGCACTTCACTTGGTTTTTTGCTGGATTGGATTCTTCCCATTTTCCTTCACAAACTCAGCCTGTTTTCTGCCCAATTTACATGGCATGCCTGCATATGGTTGGAACACAGAATTTGCTATGCAAGTACACTCTTACTCTGGTCTCTATCTGCTCTCTCCATTAGAATGATCAGTTTAAAATGCTTTGTAAATGCATATTTTTACTTTTTCAGTAATACAGAGACAATACAGCAAGAGGACAAAAGTTTGATTCCATTCAACTCCAGGCATCTTTGGCACAACGCTCCCAGTGCAGCACACTGACCAATAGAGAGGGTACACACGACTCTTTGTGCCAAAATCACTACGTAGTTCATTTTAAAAAATGGGCAAGAAAAAGTTTCAAAGTCTAGTACTACACCTTGATATCAACACTCACAGCACTCTCTTTCTATTTTTGAAGCATTAACTTATTTTTCTTCTCTTTTGTAAATGATGCATAGTATTTGCCAGCACACTGAGATAAAATACTGCAAATAAAAACAGACTTTTTAAGCTACATCCTTCAGGGTGATGATCATGAGATAGTTACAGGAATCTCACCAAAGTGTGTGCCTGCTACAACATCTGTGTCTTTGCTGAAATCTGAGGGCATCTCTGAAGCTGACACCCTTCAGGAAGGCTGAGTTTGACTTGAGAATAGCCTTGATCTGGCAGCATAGAAATTCTTATTGTTAGTCAGCCCAAAAGATGGTTCAGTTTGTGGACTGCCCACCTGAGGCCTGGCACAGGGATGTCATTGCTGGCAGTGGAAGGACACATCTGCCTCCCCTCCCTGCTCTGCCCCAGCACAGGAGGACTCCCTGCTGTCATACCTGGACAAGACCTCTGTTCTGCTCCAGCTGACTGTGGGGCCCAAATGCAAGAGCCAGAATAAGCACACAGCCGACATAGGGAAGAACTGTGTGCAATGGCAACATCACAATACAGCACTCCTGCACATGCCAAATATTTGCATTTTGCCCGCTCGTCTCAGATGTTCTCCAAGGATGCTTATTTAATTGCTAGGTCACGAGTGCTGCAGGCTCAAAGATTTCAGTTCTTTGTGCTCAGAGAAACTTCTGAAAGGATTCAGCATCCATTCCCCTAAGAGTG